TCGGTTGTTGACATAAGAATATGAAGAAGCTTTAGGGGTTTTCAGCTGTTCTGCTGAAACGTCCTCGGCTAATGGATCTGGTGGCGTTGGGCGCCGGTGCCCCGTTTGGAGCCGCCCAAACCCGAGGAAGGGCCGTGCAGCCTCGGCGCGGCCCCGTCCGCACCCGCCCTTGCGGTAAATTATTCCACTTCTGAAAACGGGATGTGTGACGAAAATGCTAAAAATGCCAGTGCTGCCCTGCTGCTGGTTGCTGCTCTCTTTTTTGCTGCATAGGGGACTAAATTTCATGTTTTTGCTGTAAGCTGTGACTTGGGCAGCAGGTCACTGTAAAATTAGGAATGTATGTGTACATATTGGTGTGTTCATGTACTAGGAGCTGCCTGTGGGCGCCTGTGCTTTCAGTGGCCTTTGCCCAAACAGAGATGGTTTCACCTTGTGCAGCAGAATGGTTTGGGCTTTGGTGGTTTGGGCTTTGTGCTTCCTGAACCCGGTTGGTTCCCCGCTGTTTAAACTGTCTCTGATATTAAAGGCTGGGAAAGTAGATTTCTGCCATTTTTTCCCCTCTGTCTTTTAGGGATTGCTTCATTGAGGACAAATAAAATTAAATGAGATAATATATTTGCTCTTTGGTCATAGATGGAAATTCTGAAGCTCAGCAACTTGTGTAATAGGGAAACCTCAGTATATCATTTTTGAGAGCCTGTTCCTACATCCCTTTTTTCTGTGTTTTCCCATTTTTTTCATATATACACACACACACACACACACACATATATATGTGTATATATACACACACATATAGTTACCTATTGCTTGCAATGCTAAGCCTAAAATGAAGACTTTCAGACTGTTGGCTGGTGGGGTACTGCGCATCATGTCTTATTTTTTTGTGCCAGTTCCCACGCTGCGATGTGGAGCTGTCCGTGAGGAAGAGGATCYCATCCTTCCTCCACAGGGCTCGGGTGATATCGGCGCAGCCTGGTCATCAGCACCGCGGGCCAGTCGGACCTTGCTCCTTTGGGGCTGTTTTTGACCACATTGCGGTGTTTAACTTGGCTGCCACCACGCTCTCTCCTGCCTTGTGCACTTCAGTTGCATTCCTGATGGTTTTTTTCCCCTTTATTTATAGTTCTTCAGTGTTGGCAGGTGTGTATTTCACATTAACATGAGGGGTTTTTTTGGATGTTAAACTGCTATTTTGTTTATGGTAATTTCCAGTCAGTGGAGGGTGACTGTTGAGAGAGATGAGCAGAGAGGGAAAAAATTGTCAAGCATTTACAGTAAATAGTCTCTGCTTTTGGAAACACTGTCAGAAGTTTAATTGTTAGGTTCAAGTAAGTTTGTCATGTGCTAGACAGAATCAGTCTGCTGTAATGAACCGGTTCTGCACTTCCAGCAGCAAAAAGGGAGAGTGAGAAAGCAAGGGATGCTCGGGATTTCCCGTCACCTTGCACTGCAGAAGGAATGGGGGAAGGCTTTTTAACCTAGCCGGTAATTAGGTTTTGCATGGAAGCATATATTACCGTGCCTGCTTTGCCAAAGCTCTTCAGTATGATGGATGAGATTTAAAGGTTGATCTGACTAAATTGCAATGAGAATACTAACGACAAAGATATTTCTGTTGTGAAATATTCCTACCAGGCATCATAGCTGTGACATAAATGCTGTAAGATAATGGACAATAAAAGTCACTCGGAAATAATACTCTCCTAGGATCGGGCTGCCTTCCCCACAGCACGTACCCTCAACTAGAGCAATAATGTAATCATAAGCCCAGATCATCATTTAACTCTATAGGCAGTGGCATATAGCGTGCTGACAGGTTTATTTTGCGGGGAGGCGAGGCAGGGAAGGGGTCTGGGCAGCGCGGGGAAGGCAGCGGTGCCGCTGGMGCCGCGCTGCTTTCCGGAGGCAGCTTCCCCCGCGCCGTGTTGGGAGCCTTGGGAAGCACCCGGGAAGTTTTTGGCATCCGAAGGGTTTTCAGGCCACCCTCTTCAAGACGCAGAGGTTGTTAACGTCGCACTTTGGGGAAGCCAAGCAGCTCTAGGTGGTTTCCTGCCGGGCCAGGCACAGGGATGCCTGGATTTGGGTCTGTTTCTGTGGGACCCCCCCTCAGCCGCCGCGCGGGCCTCGGCACGGAATGCATTTCCCGCACAGTGGCATTCCGCTTGTTCTCCTGCCTTCTGGAAAGATGCGTGTTGCAGAAAATGTTTTGGTTTGCTGTGATGGGCAGGACACGTCTGACGCTGTCTGACAGTGCGGAGCTTCCCGGGAACGTTGGGAGCGGCCCTGAAACGCCCGTCACTCAAGAAATGGAAGCGCGGGGAGAGCGTGCAAACACAGGGAGCTGCTTCCAGKGCCGCTTGTCTTGTTTCCTGCTGTCGTGTTTGGCCGTCGGAACGAACGGGAAGCTCCGCGTAACGCCCTCGCTGGGAAGCAGCGATGGGAAGCAGGGCCGGAGCAGGCCCGGCTCTCGGAGCGCGCCTGTTGCCGCCGCCTCTTGCCCATTCCATTTATTTGTCTTTTTTTCTCTTTTTTTCAATGCTGTATTTTGTCAAGGGTATTGCTACTCCTGAAAAGTGGTGCCTAAAGGTAGGGAATTTGTGGATCTTAGTCCAATCATTTGCAGTTACATCCAGAGAAACCCAGTGCGGTCGATTGGTTTCTCCTTCTTGTCGGCGGCTTCATCTTCACAAGCCCATCTGAAATGGAGGCGAGCGCTGCTAGTTCTACCCGGCTGTACCTGGTGCCGCCGGCGTTCCCGGCTCGCCGTAGCCGTTTTCACGAGCGCGGTGAGGACGTTGCCGGTTTGTCTTACAGAGCTGGGAGCCGCCTCCTGCGGAAACGCGGTGCCCAGGCCGGCCCCGCCGCGGCCGCCAGGGCCCAGAATAGCCGGCGGCCGGGACGCGCTGTTCCCGCCGCCCGCGCGGCACTGCCAGCGGGGCCGGATCCCTTTCCAGAGCCGCTATCCCGTTCCTGCCCYGTCCCTGCCTTCCAGCTGCAGCGCACTCGAGCGGCGCCGGGCAGACCCTTGTCCCGGCGGGATGCAGCGACATGGATTGGTGTTGGGCCCCTGGCATTGCCCCTCGCACCACATGGACACGTGCCTGCGTATCCGGCTTGTAAATGGGAATTTTGGAATTCCCCTGAATAAGAGGCACAGCGTGAGGAAAGCACAGGCCATACCCGAGGCCTTCCCCACAGCGTCGGACTAGGGAAAAGCAGGAATTCTGCATTATGGCCTCCCTGTCAGTAAGCCACCTTTCTTAAAATCATGAATAATAAAATAATTAAGCTGGCTGTGAGGGTGCATGTGATTTTGYGGTAGCTGGCATCAGAAAAGATCTGCCAGCGGCTTGTTTAGGTGACAATTCCTAGACGCGTGAGGACCAAATTGCTGCAGAAATTCTTCTGCGTCGTGTTTTCCTCCCCTCCTCCCTCCGCAGATATTTAAAATACTTCTGTATTTTAAGCTGAGAGCGGGTGGTCGCCCTGTGCCAGGCGCGCACTATTAATACCCAGCGGGTCAGGTCGTGCTCTTTGGCTGCGCGGCTCCCGGCCGGGCTCCTGGGGAGGTTTCTGCGCGGCTCGGCGGCCGCGGGCACCGCGCGGGGCCGATTCCTTCCTCCCCGCATGGCCACGGGTCCCATGCGGACCCTGGATGCGCTCGGGACGCGCCAGAGCTCGGCCGGGCTCGCGAGCGGCCGCGCGGCGCGGTGCAGGCACCCAGTGAGGTTCTTTGGGAGCCTGGCCGCTGTGCACCGTCCGCTCCCTCCTGCCTCGCTCCTTGCACAAGCTTCTGCTCAGCCCGGCTTTGGGCTGTGCTGCAAAACCCGTCCGGTCGCGCTGTGATTTGAGCTAGACCCCCATGGGGTCTGGAAGCTTTGTGCCACAGAGGCTGGATTTTACAGGCTGTGCTACTGGCAGCATAAATAAAAAAGTTTTGTTCTGTAACTGCAACCGCAAATTCCTGACTGAGATCCTTGTGCGCCAGTTTGAGTTGCATCTAGAGGTGTCCTGTATGCCTAGCATACCTGCGCAGGTGCTGTTAATACCTTTACACTGTGCTCTAGCAAAGGGTTCACCCACTTTGCTCTAGTTATCCTTCACAGCCCCCGGCTGAGCGTGTGGCAGAACAGATGAGTAACTTCTGTTCCAAATATAGTAAGAGCGTAGGAGTCCCTTCAAAGCCAGACTGGAAGTTTAGGTGATTTCCATGCTTGAATCACTTCTTACCCTCCCTGGGAGAAGCCCCGGAAGGTTGGATGCAGCTTAAGGTAGGGAGTGGGGTGTCGGGGAAGCGTAGGAGATGCTGAAGAGCCAGAGTTTGGCAGGTGTGATATGAAGAAAAGCACTTCTTGCACCTCGTCTGGTTGCGTTTGCCTCGGAGCAGATCGATCAAAATCACACAAAGCCGATAGATAACACTTAAAGGAAGGTTCGGTAACACCATGGAATTTATGGAGAGATTCTGAATRTTATGAGCAACAGTTTCAGCTTTCCTGTGCCCCTTTTTTGTCTCGTTTTGCAGAGAGAAGACGTGCTGACCTTTACCGAATTGCTCGCTCAGTATCTGACTGTGCTAGGCATTTAGATTCAGTCTCTTGTAGCAACGCCAAGTGCTGTTGCAAAATTTGTGTTTGAGTTGACAAAAGCAATGTCTTTAGTAGGTAACTTGCCACTAACCAAAATATACCCTAAAAGGGCCCTTTCTTGCTTACTATGAGAGTATATTAGAAAAGTAGGAATATTTTTTGCTGTCATCGTTCCTGTTCAGCTGAGGAGTTGCACTGTGCCCGACCTGTTGCAGCTTTCTTGTCACTTGTATTGAGCAGTCCCTGGGTCTGTGGGACTGTGACAGGCTTTAGTGGGGCTCGCGGGAGATAAAATTAACAAAGCAGAGATGTTTGTGCGTGAGGCAGCCGGAGGGAGCAAAGGGGGGCTCGGTCCCTGCTGTCTCKAGGCATCGGCGCTCATGGCCCTCTCCTCTTCTCTTGCAGCGGAGCCGCGAGGCCCAGCTTGGTATGGTACCATGGAGGGGCAACACAACCACCCGCATCATCTAGGGGACCAGAACAACCCGCTGTGCAAGCTGCCGGGCCAGGAGTACCAGCATGATCCCCAGGTAAGGCCCTCTTCCCCCTTGGCTGTCTCCGTGCATAGCTGAGTGCTAAATGCCAGAGACAACTTCCAAACGCAGGGAAAAGTTCATCCTGCTCCTTCAGTGTGCTTTGTGCTGCCGCTGTCCTGTTTGATACAGTGGTTCCCTGCCTTTCCTTCATCTGTTCTCCACAATTCGGGTGAAATGAAGTCTTCACAGTAAGTCCAGTCCTGTCCCTGTAAACACCAGGTTGGTGTTTGGTGACTCTGGCTGCCTGCTTTCGGTGGGATGTCGGACTGTCTGTCAGGAAGCCGTTCCRCATTGCGAGGAGTGAAGCAGCAGCGTGTGGAAAAGCCCTTGGAGAGCAGCCCCGGGCTCCGGCCGCGCGCGCAGGGCGGCCGGGGTTAATTTGCCGTGGTGAGCACGGCCGGCGGGGCTCGGGGTGCCCCCAACGGGAAGGGCGCTGGCGAGCCTGGATCATAGCACWGCCTAAGGTCTGCAGAAACGGTCACTTGTCTGCACATGTGGCACGATGGATGGGTTCGGTGCAGCACTGCTTTGCAAATGCATTGTATGAGGCAAAGCCCCCCTCCCCTAATGCAGCAATTTGTCATATTAAGTCATTTAATAATAATTGAATCCCCTTGATTAATCTCTTAGAATTAGCCAGTTGCATTTTGAGCAATTAGGGTTAATTACTGCCTCATTTGGCAGGATAGAGCCCCTGTAATTATTTCATGAACAAGATTAGGAAGTGTTCCTGTGCCGCAGATACGTTCATGGCATCTCGGAGCACATGTTAGAATTTGTAATGACATAGTTAAGTGTAATTAGTAGCTAATAATCTGTGTTGTGCTGTTCTGCAGATGCTGAGTGGGCTCGTTTTGCTGGGTGGTCGTTGCTTGGTGCGGACATCCCTCAGGCTTCCTAAGATTCGAGTTGTCTTAGTAGAGGTCTCTGAGTGAATCAACTACTGTGAGAGCAGCCCGGGTTGGAAACGGAGCTGCAGCAAAGACTTGCTTCTGCTTTTGCTGTCTTAAAACGTGATGCTGCGTAGCTATGTGTAGGGAATATTTAGGAAAATACATAGGGGGACTGAAAACACATTTCTTCAGCAAACTTGGTATAGAAGTTAATGAAGATTGTAATGTTTAATGGTCAGACAACATAAGGCTGATGATTTGGTATGATTTCTTGTTTCATGTTTCTGATTTTGCATTTACATGAACATAAGTATATATCATTTTCAGATTTCTGGTACCAGTTACCTGGTAGAATCCAAAATGGCATTATTAACGACGTTAACTTCAAGAGAAATTGACTGTGTGTCAGAGGCTTTTGGTTTTTGCAGTTCTGCCCCAACAGCCTCACCGTGCTGCCCACCCATCCCGCGTCCCAGCTGCTCCCTTGTGCTTTGTAGAGTCTGGGTAACCTTCTCCTTACAGCTTGCAACAGAGCTTTGTGTTCAGAAGGTCGCTAATTGGAATAAGTGAGTATCTAAATAGAAAAGAGGCGTAATGAGATACCATTTTAGCTTCTGGTGCATTACCTGCCTGACATTACTCTGAAGTTTGTTGAAGAGAAGTGTTTTCTAGGAATGTTCCTGCATGCAAGTGTCGCTCATTCACATCTCCAATTACTTGGAGTTTGTAGCAATAAGAGGTAAAATTCATCGAGGAGTAAATCAGTGCTATAAAAATACAAACCTGTAATTTTTGACTAAGCATTTATATTATATGGACATAGTAACTCGCTTTTGAACAGTCCTTTTATATTCTTATTCAGCATTTTAGCAACAGAACCGTTTGTAGTAGTTTCCTTCTGGCCTGCTAGCTTAAGGCAGATGATGGGGGTCCCCTGGCAGCCAAGGCTACCATCAGTTCATCGGTTCTAAAGTGCTGAGCTTATTGCTTTGTTAAGACGAATTGCTTTGCTGACGTGAATATCAGCKTGGTCTGCTCTTTTAAAGCTGGTGTTTCTCTTCCCTGCTTGTCGTTAGCCTGTGCAGATATGTGCGGATAGAGAGGACTTTGAATTTCAGACTTTAACTTCTAAGCAACAGTTCAGGTTCCAGTTGTTTTATGGTGATTATAGAGTCCAGTTTAGAAGCTGCAAAGTGAAGCACCTGAAGTATTCTTCAGCAAGTACTGAACTACCTGTTTGAATAATTATCCATATGTTAAAGCTCAGCACTTTCCTAGTCTGTTGATGAGCTTGGAATTAAAAAAAAAAATCTTTTTTTTGTGATTTAGACTTATAAATCACTGGAATTTCAGTCTTTAAATACACACAATGATGTTCAGGTAGGTGCTGTTGGTTTGAGATGCATGTACGATTTGGAGCGTCATAAAGAGATTTGCAACACTGCTGTTGGAAGTAAATCATTGCTTGTAACGTGCGTGTGTCCGACTGTGGGGGCTAAGGCTTCCCCGTCTACTGTCACAGATGCCTTTTAAAGGTGGAATTCGTTTACGGTAAATGTCATTCAGATGAAGCATGCACTTTAGAAGCAAGGAAGCCGTGGCTTTAAAATTAATGATGCATTGCAAATATCAGAAAAAAATCTTACATGCAGCGTAAAGATAATTAAAATTCAGGTCAGAAGTGTATGACTTAGTCGGGCTAAATTTTTTAATGAGATTTCAGAAAATTAATTGGGCGAGTGTTTTCACTCTTCTAAGGAGTATTTCATTTCATGGCTTTACAGGATGCTTTATTGGCATCTAAAGATTGTGAGGTCTGACTCTTTAACCATTGGTTACCCAATTTTAATAACTTTCAGGTTGATTACAAACAATCTAAACATTTTGTGACCTTGTAGTCTCTTTGTACAGACTTAGCACTAGCGTCGGCTTTCCCCGTGCCAATCAGGCAGGAATAAGCCAAGGGAGTTTCATATTAATTATCGTTAGTGCTCGCTGCTGGTGCGCGGGGTCGTTAGTGGAGGAGCGTTCCCTCTTCTCAGCTCTTCCAGGCTGGGAATCCTTCTGGAGGCGGAAGCGCTTTGTTCCGAGCAGGCGCTTCGAGCCCTCCCATGTCCCAAGTGCCTATAAACTCAGAGCTAATTTGCTCTGCAACTATTCGCTTTGAAAATCTAAATTTCTGTTCAAGTTGTGGCTGGCCAACCTGTGTGCAGCTCCAGTCCCTAAGCCTGGAAAGCAGCTCAGTATGTTCTGTGGTGCCACTGCGACAGACATGCCTAAAAATACGGAGAAACTGCAGCAGGAACTTACTTATACTAAGGAATAAGTATRTAACCAAATATATATATAATTTCCACGCCTTCCCCCTCCACGCTTGCCTTGATCGCTTTCTAATCTGGTAGTAGAGACCCCTGATTGTCAGTAATTAAGCTTCTTATCTTTGCAGCAGATCTGTTCAGTCATTTTAGCTTTGTGCTTATTTGAGTTTATTTCGTAGGGTGCTTTTTCAGAAAACCATACTAACTGTATTTGGCAGAAAGTCGCRTAAAACACCAAAACTGGAGGCTGCAAGTTCTGGCCAACTTACGCTTTCAAAAGTATTTGGACGTTGTTGTTGCATACTGCTGCCAGCGCTGACATTTTTGCTCTTGCATCATTGATTACATTTAAAAGGGAACATGTATGCCAGAATAACTTGTTCTGGGAATAATCTCGGTGTTTCTCCTTAAAAATGAATAGCCTCTTTATCTGAATGAGGAATTAGTTGACTTTAATCTTTGGGCTTTTTCCCCCCCTCTTTTATGGAGCAGTAGAAGAATGAGGCCTCATTGTGTGGATAAAGAGAACAGCCTTTGTCTCAAAACTAGTTCTTCCCAGACTATCTGCTTCCTACAGCTGCCCTGGGAATAGAAGTGTTCAAATAGCTGGATTTTCAGAGTGTCTTTAAAGTACCAAAAGTTGCTTTATTTCCTTTAGCTCCGTCGCTGTGCTTGAAATTTGTTCTGCAGGGACAGGTGCTCGGCTCTGCGCTATTCCCCAGGCGCTGCCTCCTCGCTGAGCCCGAATCCCTCCTGAAAGCAAGAGAGCCTGGTTTAGGGGGACAGCTCGGAGGCGACGGCCCTGTTCAATTGTGCGCCCAGTCTATATCTGTGTATGAAACACTGAGAACTGCAGAATTAAAGATCACAGGTTATTTGAATGGGTAGGCACTGTTTTTTTCAGCCAGCTTTGTGCAAAACACTAGCAGCTAAATGGGGAAGGACCAGGGGGGTGAAAGAGCCAAGCGGGGTGGGTTTCCCTTGTCAGGAGCTGCAGGATGAGTCCAAGCTGGACGAGGCCAGCCCGCGGGAGCAGTTTTCTGCGGAGCTGCGTGTTTATCGGGGTGCCAGGTGTGCTCTYTGTAGCAGCGTCTAGGAGAGCTGCCTGCCTGCACTGAACATAAAGAACAGAGGGACAGGTTTGTTCCAGCCAGCCGCGTGGGGTGACGGGCCGCCCCGCTGCCGAGGGAGCGCTCCYGCATGCGCCCTGCTGCACTCCGCAGTCAAACATCCAGCCCCTAGGAAAGCTCCATTACTTTAATTAGGTCTGATAGGTTGTGATAGCAAATGCAAATCTAGGTCATTGCATATGTAAATGTGCAGCTGTAGTCCTGGAGGATGCCAGAACATATCAGCTGAGGTGTCCAGTCATCACCTAGCATTAAGTGCAGCTTGGCAAGCAGACTTTAGCTGCTCGCCATGTGAAAGCGGTCGGGACGCGCGCGCACACACCCTGTCACTTCACTAATATTTATTTGCATTTTAGGAAGTTGCGAGGTATTTCTTGTCACATGCTTAAAATATTAATTTATGCTTAARTACCCATGGTTTAAACACACTTTAAATTTAAGAAAGGCCAATGAATACCACCCTTGATTTCTTTCTTATCCTTGGGTAAGTGTTGTATATATGATTGGACAGGTATTTGTGATGACTTAAAGGTGTCTGGAGAATAAATTTAGATCACAGTTTCTGTTCTGTACAAAATTCCCAAGGTTGTGGAGCAAATCCTCCCCGGAGCCCTTTGGAAACACATGCAAAGAAGGTCACTGGGAGCATCGACGTGGACCTGCTAAGGGCAAAACACGGCAGGCAAACCGTGCCTGACAAATCTTAGCTTTCCAGGGAGGGCAGCGGTGTTGCATAACTGGATTTTTAGCAGGTCTTTGCATTGTTCCCCATAGTCTCCTTACCACAAAATAGGTGAGATGTGGACCAGGTAGATGTTCAGTCTGATAGCTGGAAAACCAGCCGGGCTGAGGGATTCGGAAGGTTCCTTTGCTGGGTAACACAAATCTTCACTGCAGCCTGTGCCTTGTCCAAGCAAGCCAGGCTGTGAGATAAGGCACACGTTAATTCTTGCTCCCAAGAATGGGGCACGCCAGAGAATGTTTTCAAAGGGAAGTGCTGCAAACAATTTAAAGGAAATGCTGGATGAAATCAGCTTCCCATTTCCATGTGACTAATCCTCATGAGTAACTGCRAATTGTAATACAGCCTTATTGTTTGTGTAGATTATTGTGCATGAATTAAAATATCATGTTCTAGCCCGGAGAAACGAAGCCCATTCCTGATAGTATTATGAAACTATGTAAAGACTTATGGTGATAGATGGAAAAATTTACCCGTGGCTTTGACACTTCAAAAATAATTACTCGGAGTGTCGCCTCGTGTGAGAAGGAGCGTTTTTGCTCTTTTAGGCAACTTGAACTGAGAAAGTTGATGATCATGAGGCCCTCGAGTTAAATGTCCAATTACATGTCTACTTGAATTAGCAGCCGTCGCCTGCACATTTAAGCTGCTGCTTTTTTTTCCTTGAATAAACCCGTTGCAGAGCCGCGGTCTGTTGTGCTTTTCCCCGTGTTTGTTGTGAGGAAGGCACTTTAAAGATGACAGTTTTGAGAATGGTTTGGTTGATGCTATTTGTCTCCTAAATAGTAATTTTTGATCCACTTTATCGCTGAGGCTTCTTAAACATTGAATTTTACAACTTTGTTTGCAAAACCTCTGCCAAATAACTATGATTGTAGTTGAGGATTGTGCAGGCAACTTTAAAACGTTTCTCAAATGCCAGATTGATGCCTTTCTAGTGTCTGTCGGATTTCCCTTCTTTATGACAGAAATAAAACCCGCTGCTCGTCAAACTTACTGGTTTTTCAGTGAATCCTGCCCACTCCTTTCCCTTGGGTTTGCGTGTGGTGCTGGTGCAAGGTGTGGGGTGCCGAGCCTGCCCGCAGCGCGCGCACGGGTGCACGTGTCCCTGGAGCGCCGCGTCTGCGCGCGGCTCGTCCTGACACCTCTGCCTCGATGGCCATGGATCCAGGATCCTGGATCATCTCTGGATCCTTTGTAAAGACCCTGGGAAATTAACTCCTGTCTTGGTTGTGCTCTGGTCTGAGCGCTGCTTGCATTTTCTTGATGCATTTCCCATCAAAAATGCAAGAAGGTTAAACAGGAATGCACGTGCACAGGCGAGGTGTAACTTGTCCTTTCAGACGGCCGAAGGGCTGCTTCCGAGTCTGTGCAATTCAGTGCCGTCACTTTCCTGTGCGTGGTTATTGGTGATCACGTGCCGAACTTCCACCTTGTGGTGTCCGCTGGAAAGGTGTGAAGCGGACAAGGAAGACTGCAGGTGAGGAGGAGGAAGGCAGCCCAGGCCCTTGTCCCCCGCTCCCAGCTGCACGTTTCCTTGGCTTTCCTGCTGGGAAGTTCTGCCGGGGCTGTGACGAGTTGTCCTTAGGAACATCCTTGGTCTCGGCAATGGCTGGTTTGCAGCCGGAGGCGAGGATCGGAAGGCGGGTTTGCCCTGGGTTCCGCTGCTCCTTGCAGCTCGCTCATTGACCGTGTTTCTTTGGACCAAGCAGAGACACTTGACGTCGTTCCCGTACCGCTGCACGCTGGCCGACTTCCAGGTGGAGAAGAAGATCGGSCGGGGGCAGTTCAGCGAAGTTTACAGGGCGACTTGTCTGCTCGACAGAAAACCCGTGGCGTTGAAGAAAGTCCAGGTGAGTGTGCAAGCTGTTCCTGTTCCGGACACAAAACGGGAACGTCAGGGGCGTGCTCGGTTTCCTCCTGAACTGGGAATCTCTTGGGTTCCAGTGTCCTTCTGCACAGTATTCGGGACAGCAGTTGGTTTGAAGAAAGCTGAATTTAATCCTTCAGCCCGTCCTTTAAACTCCTCTTCCAACCGACTTACTCTGCTTATTACAGAATTAATGTAAATGCTCAATACTCTTGCAGATTATTCCAGAGAAGCCAGTAGAAGCTCTATTTTTATGTTGTTAAAAAGAAAAATAAACATATTTTGCCTTTATTTACTATGAAAATAGGATTAAATAATATTAAATAAATGAAGTGATTTTATTGAAAGTCACAATAACAAATCCACAGACTAGCAGCTCGTTTTCCTGCTACTTAGCATATTGCCCATAGGTTCCCAAGTTAATTTTTCCCCATTGCTAACCTAATAGCAGTTTCAAAATAAAGATAACATTGATTTTTCTTTGATCTGGGGATTGCCTGTGTACTCATTATCATAGTGGATATATAAAGAGGGAGAAGAAAGACCAATATCTCATTAAAATATAAAATTCTTAATTTGTTTTCTGCTTCATTTTAATCTTTGACATTTTTTGTCTTTGAAGATTTTTGAAATGATGGATGCCAAGGCCAGACAAGATTGCATTAAGGAGATTGACCTCTTAAAGGTAAGAATCTGTACGATTGCTGTTCTCTGGTTTTTGTTTCGAGAAAACACGTTTTCAAGTTGCCAACTGGCACCTGCCTTGTTCCACGAAGTTGTGGAAACTGACTTTTTGGGGGGTGAAAATTAATAATTTTGTAAATGAATCAGACCATTCCAGGTTGGGCAGGAGCCACACCGAATTGTGCATTACCTTCCACGTGCTTCTCTCTTCACACGTTTGTGGGGTGCAGGTCGGGATCTCGGCAGCAGCTGCCGCGGGCGTTGGGAGAGTAGGAAAATGTCATTAATGCAGGATAAGGAGCCTCAAACGTTTTGGGCATTCATTTCATGAGAACTAATACAGTTAAAATAGCAGGCTCCAGTTGCTTAAAAGATAATGTAACATCTAGATTTCTCTATTCTCTTGTGCCTGTTTTGTTTTGTATTATCCTCCTCCCGCGTTCCTAAAAGATGCAGTAAATTTGAAAATTACAAAAGTGAGCATTTGGTCTCCCGCGCAGCTGTGACCCCAACGTGTCCGTTGCAGGGGTTACAAAGCCAAAAGAAATATTGCTGTGATCCATCATGCTAATCCCCCGCTCCGCACGCGCATTGGGGAGAGATGCTGCTCCGCGATGCCTGGACACCAGCGCGCGTTAGCGCTGATGGGATCCATGTGCGGCATCCAGAGAAGCTCTCCCGGAAGCCCCCACTTCCAATAAATACACAATACAGCCCATCGTTCTGYGGAGATGTCTCTTAAAGGTCTGCTCTTAGGTCCATAGATCAAAGATCAACTTCCATCCAGAAAAGCACCCAAATTGGGTGCAGGGCCATTTTCTGCCTCTCTCACAGCGGACACTCTCCCRGGGCTCCCAGGGGCACCGGGGAGTTTAAACCATCAAACCTTCTCCTAACCCTCCATGGCATAGGTCAGACTTCAGTGTTTTACTCCTTTTCTTGGCAAATCTCTGTAAGATTTTATATGCTGACTCTGTGGTGATTTCGGTCCCTGTTCTATAGGCCTGTAGCATGGGAGAAACTATTTGAAATGCCTTTTGTTAGTGRGAAACTGTATTAATTTTCACCCCAATTGCTCCTTCTTAAAAGACRTTTTATAGTTGTTTCTGTTACGGTTTTTGTGTGTGCTAAGGGCCCGGAGCCCTCCGTGTAGCTCTACCTGTTTCAAATCATGTTGTGCAGTGATTGCAAAAGTGGGAACAGGTACGGTATCCTGTGGCTGAAATTGCAACTTTTTACAAATATTCTCAACTTCCTCAACCTGCAGCAACTGAACCACCCCAATATAATTAAGTATTTGGATTCTTTCATCGAAGACAACGAGCTCAACATTGTCCTGGAACTGGCAGACGCTGGTGACCTCTCTCAGATGATTAAGGTAAGGACACATCAAGTAGTAACATACCACAGGCTTCCAGGAGGATGCCCTGGAACACGGCCATGGACATACGGCCATGAGGAAAGTGGATCTCTCCTGGGAAYGCGCTCCCCCTCTCCTCTTGGAGTCTCATGCAGGACAGGGTGCTTGCAGGCTGAGCTCAGGGGTCTGGTTTAACCCCCCTCGGCTGCAGCCTGCGGCTTCCAAGGGAGTGAGACAGTGCAATCCATGGGGATATGGTTGGGGACACTTAATTCTTCCTAGGCAGGTATTCACATAGCCGGGCTGCCACGTCGAGGGCATTTTAGAAAGTGTATTGACTTTCCTTGCAGCTGGGACTTGGGATTGAGAAAGTGTTTCAAGTGCTTGCTCCTCTCTTATGTTGCTCCTAGGAATACTTGTATAGCTGGAAACCAGCTTTAGTTAAGCTGTTACCACCTGCTTTTATATTTTCTTTGACATGTTAATCTTTAGACATACATCCCTTGTGAGAACAGATGTGTTATATCATGTTTGTTAGCACTCTCAACCTTCTCTCTGTGTTTTACCTGCCTTTTTTTCCTGCCRTCATTATCCTGCAATTATCATAAATGAGCGTTTGGAAAGTTCCCCTCCTCCTTGTTGCCACAGTTAAAATCCCCACGTAGCAGGTTTGTTTTGTGTGGCAGCGGAGCTGCGGGGCGCGAGCCGGAGTCGCTCCATGGGCAGTGTCCACGAAGGCGGTCGCATCAGTCCCATTTCCTGGAAAACAGGCAGTTTATTGCAGGCTCTTAGTAGCTTCAGGTAAAGATGGAGAGAAACTGGAGTTTGTGGGAGCAGAACGAGGGCTCCGACTGTGCTGGGAGCAAGTGCTTGACTTATTTTTAAATTTTAGCTGATGAAAAGTCTTACCTACGTAATTGTCAGCTATCTTGTTGTATAAAATATTTGCATACTTCAATCATTTAGAATTTTAGTTGAAAACTCTCTCTAGTTGTAACTATATTCATTAATCTTGTCAGGGTTGGGYGATAAATTTCTGAATTTCCTGGAAATTATTTCTTCATGGTATATTAAGAATCACTTTTTGTGAAACTTAAWTTATTCATCCTTAGGTTGACAACAAAGCTGTAATTTCTATGCTCTCTGCCAGGGCTCCCCAGTCTGGGCCCTTTTCCCATGCCTTTGGTGCAGGCACAAAGATAACACCCTGGAGTTTTTCAAGGTCCTATAAATTATGCTTTCCCACTTAGTGCAAACCTCTGGGGAAACTGAGTTTTAAAAAGCAAACCCTAAAAATAAGAGGGAATGAAAGAAAATCTCGTCCCAAATGTTGGAAACAGAGCCGACCGAACAGCCCGCCTGCCTCCTCCTCGGTGTCACCCCCGCCCCGTGGCTCTGGAATTAAAACTTATGTCGGGATTTTCAGTTTCCGCGAGGCGGCAGGAGCAGCAGTAACAACACGCCGAAGGTGTGAGAGTGATAAAAACAGGGGCGTCCCTGTCGCGGCCCCGCTGCCTGCATTATGTATGAGCCCCGCGGAGCCGGTGCAGCGCGCGGTGCCGCCGCAGAGCCGGGATTCCCTGGAAATGTCAGCCGAGGCTTATTGGACATGACATTTAGAAAATTATCACTTGTGGTGGTGCATATCCCATCCTAACTACTTTAATGGAAATTAAATAATATCGTGTATATAACACTTTATCCATCACCCTCTGCGATTCCTCTGTGCTCTCCATCGAGTTTTGGGTTGAAACTGTTGCAAGCTGTCAGATTTGCTGCTTGGGGAATTGCACGGTCGCGGCCCTTCGCAGCTGAACTGCAAAATTAAAATTTGCTATTGCTTGAGTCAAGCAAGAGCTATTAGCAGCATTTCACATAAAATAGAAAATGTGACAATGGGCGTCAAATGTCTGTACTGAGAGGAAAAGACACCTGATGCAGGCGAGGGGCACTTTCCGCTGGTACCCTCCTTTATTCTTGCCCTTACATGGTTTTAATGGAAATTCTGCCATGTAGGATGCACAGGAAATGGCAATGATAGAGTCAAAAGGGGATAGAGCATTTCTGAGAGTGTCATCACATAATATCAGCTTCTGTACCAAAGGATGAGGGTGCATCCTAAACCCCTGGGAGCTGTTTGTGTGTTAGGTGCAGATCTTGTTGGGGTTGTGGGAGAAGAAATTGCTCAGTTCTGGCACAAGAATAAGCAGAAAAAAGTTGGATGCCGGTAATCAAAAGTTGTGGAGTTTTACAGATTATGGGAGGAGGGTGGGAAATTTGGGGTGATGGAGTAAATGCCTGAAATTCTTGAAATGGAAAAAAAAATTAGTTAAGGTTATATAATGTTTAGCTTCCACTGGGAGGCTGGCTATTTATTCCTCTGGTAGGTTGGTCGGGTAGAAGACTTGATTTTTCTAGATAAGTGTATTGATTGCGCTGTTCTTTGTGTGTTATGGTGATGAACACAATTATTTTATCTGAGAGCTGCTTGTGCCCAGTGCTCCGTGGTGTCCGGACTCGGCAATGCTCACAAATGCCCTCATAAAAGCACACGAATCAGTCTTTCTCCAAATTTGTGCCTTCTTGATCTGTAGTGTCTTTGCATCTCACTAGAGAAAGTTAATTTAACGTTCCCATTATGCATGAAATAGAATATATTATTCTACCTGATCCCAGAAGAATAACAAATACTTTATTGGTGCTGTTGCAGTCTTCTGAAACAGAGAAGCCCATTTTGTTATTGTTGTTACTAGACTGTGCAGCAGCAAACATTTGCAAGCTTTTTTTTAATGATCCTTTGTTACTTAAGGCAAAATATTTGAGACATTTGTTGTTTTGAAGCATTAAATATGTTTTGCAAGGTAATTAAGGAGATTAATGCTAATTATAATTGGTGTCCATTCAAAAACGTCAAATCTACTTAAGCATATTTTTCGCAATAGTTGTTAATTAGTGAACTGCATTGAAGTTTGCACACAGCAAGAAGGAGTTAAATGCTAATAGGGAGACAAGTCATGCTGCTGCGGACCTGAAGACATGAGCRTCCTGCAGCTGCCTAACATGACTCCAGGAATGAGGCAAATATGCTTCTTCTTCACTGATCTTTTATTTATTTTCCTCCACAGTATTTTAAAAAGCAGAAACGGTTAATCCCGGAAAGGACGGTGTGGAAATATTTTGTGCAGTTATGCAGTGCAGTCGAACACATGCACTCCCGCAGGGTGATGCACAGAGGTAACATTAATTCAGTCTCTTTTCACTGAATAATAATATAATGTTCCAATTAGTAAGCGCCTGCATTCACTAACAATTATGCTGATGTTCAGCCAACGCGTGTTTAGAGAGGCTGGAGCTTGCAAGATGGATTTCTCCTTCTGTCTTTTGCATCATTGTTAAAGGATTCAGTTCGAAGTGAGCAGGGTATTAGGAAGATGAGCTGCTTTGTATTCCAGACACTGATATTAAGTAGAAGTGTCAAACTTGCCATTAGTAAAGTGTCAGAAGTAAAATGCTGAGACTACTGGATACAGTGAACTCTTAAGAAATAGTCTTCATTATATTAGCTGTGACCTTAGAGAGTTTAGAAGAGTTTTTCTGTCTTGCAAGCCTTTCTGAAATGTTAATACAAATATGTTCCACACTTTCTCTCATACCCTGTTCTCAGTTTTCATTAATTATTTTTGAATGTCTTGTCCTAGAGCTTTTTATCGCTTTGGGTTCTATCCAAAAATTACGTTGCTTCTTTCGATATAAATGAAATCCTTTGTGAAGGACTTGACCTGGGAAATGCAAATATCCCAAAGGGCATTAATAGCAATCTCTGCTGCTCATTATTTTCTTTCTCCTYGCAAGCAGCAAATTTTTCACTAATTTTTTCAGGAGGGAGGGAGGTAGCGTTTTCCTTCTGCAAACAGCTTCTGATCCAACTTGTAAGTTGGACACAAATTAAGTCTGCAGTTGGTAGGTGGAATTTGGAATCTGGTGGCACCGGGCAAACCCCGGTGTGCAACCCTGGGGTACCTGGGTCCAAGTCATTTTTACACTTGTCAAATATGCTCCATAGAGCGCAAAACGTATGGGGTGTAGGACAGTAATTTGCCGTTGGTGTGGAGRGAACGTGGCCCACAGCCCTTGTTCTGTGCAAAGGACCCTTTCTGTGCAAAGGGAAACAGGCGCACGTATTTCTTTGATTTGCAGCGGTGGAGGAGGCTGCCTCTGTTCTGTACAGGCTGTTTCCCTGCAACATTTCCCTCGCTGCTCTTTCTGGTGTGCTGAGAAGCAAACTCATCTTTTTCACGGAAYTTGGGAGATTCGGCCTCAAAGCAGTGGAGAAACGTGGTGCTGATGGGGCCCCTTTGTGGGGAAGAGCTCTGGGCTATGTTTCTGTTGCGGTGCTAGCACCAGGTAACCTTTCGTGGCTTTGACCTTCTCCCTTTCTCTTCTTGCAGACATAAAGCCAGCCAACGTGTTTATAACGGCCACAGGGGTGGTGAAGCTGGGAGATCTCGGATTAGGCCGGTTCTTTAGTTCTAAAACCACTGCAGCACATTCCTTAGGTAAGGAATCAAGCGAGCACAGCTCTGTGGCTGCTCCAAATGAGCAGCATCTGTCCTCTTACGATGGAGGTCTGGTGCAATGGACATGTGCAAAGTTTCCGATGATTGTATTTTAAATAGCATTGTATGATATGTATTTTAAGTAGCATTGAAACATTTGGAGCCGTCACGCCGCCGGGAAAGCAAGGCAAGGCCCTCGCGCTTCATCCCTGCACGGAGGGATGCTCTGAGCCTCGACACGGGCTCCGCGTGAAGACACGAGTTTCCTCCGTGCCCTGCACGTGTCTGCCAGCCCTTCCCTAGCCTAAGATTCCCGTTTATTTCTTTATGATCTTATAAGAGAAAGCAGGAACTCTGGAGTCATGCTTAATTATTATGGGCGTGTGTGTGTCTACAAACAAACAAACAAGCTGAGGCACTTCTTATTTCCGTAAAATATTAAACGTTCCTCTTTGCACTAGGAGTTATCCCAGAGTATGTATACTCTACTTAGCAGATTAAATCCCTTTTATAGCAAGTTACAATAACATCATCTGAATGGGCAAAAATATGACCATGTCTAATAATATGATTTTTATCTAGTTTGACTGCTGCACTTATTATTTTAATAAGAATAAATTGGGGCTTAGCAACTGGCCGCTCCCGGGAGCGGAGCTCGTGACGYGCGCGGGCCGGCCGCGGTGCCGGGGAGCGACGGGTCCTGCCCGGCTCCGGAGCGTCCCGCGGAGCCGCCTCCCAGCTCGCGCTGCGTCCAGCTTCCGAATAAAAGGAGCAATTTTTGCAATTAAGAAACCATGCAAGCCTGGGGTTTCTGGGGCAAGGCGATTTGTCGTATTGGTAGGTTTTAATGCAGCAGGGGACGTTCCGGCCTCGGTTTTGGTTTAATTGAGACGTCGGTTCGGGTCCCGCGGAGCGGAGCCGGTCGGTCCCGCGCGGGCGGCCGCTCCGGTGCACCCGTTGCCCTGGCAACGCCCCGCGCGGTGGTCCCCGCGGCCGCGGAGCCATGCAGGCAGCCCGCGCCGATGCAGATGCCGGCCTCTCGTCTCTCGGGTTTCGCTTTGTGTTTGCTAACATCAGCCCGGCATAGCAGGGCGCGCGGCGGCCGCGCGACCCGCCTGGCAGGTGTAGCGCCGGCCGCGCCAGTGTCAGCGCCACGGCCGCAATTAGGGCGAGGAGCAGAATGAACGTCAAACGCATTACTGGGCAGCAGATCATATTTGTCAGGAGGGATTGCATACATAAAAATTAAGTGACAGTACATGCCGGGGTAATGAAAGAAAAAGGGAAGATTTGCCCGGACGCCGCTCGCGGGGCTCAAGCGAGCGCCTCGCTCGGAGCAGCGGCAGCGCACACGGAAGCGCTGCTCGGCCAGCGAGCAAGGGGAAAACGGGGCGAGAAAGGGGAAAACAGGGGTCGAGGAGGGGGTCCCAGCAGCCCCCGTCGTGCCGTGACCTGCAAGGACGGATCCCTTTCCCATGGGAGACGGCGCGGCRCCCGGCCTGGCCGCGTCAGCGTGGCGGCCCCTGCCTGAGCAGCCCCGCTAGCAAGAGCTGCAGGTTGGCTCGCGTGCAGCTGGGTTTGCATCTCCCACAAGTTTCAGTTTTATAGGCAGAGGAGGAGAAATTCAGCGTGAGATGAGAAGGACTTTTTTTCCTAATTTTTTTTTAATACTGCTTATTTTCTTGGAAAACTTTTACAGCCTGTTCCTTTGGGGATTATGCTGTGAGCATTTTATTACATTTACTTTTTTTTTTCTTCTTTTGCATGGATATTTTTTTTTCCCTAGAAGAGCCATATGGTACCTGTTTGACAGCCTGTTTCACTACAAAAAGCAACTATATTTAACCCAGGGCTTTGCACCCAGCTACGACAAAGTGACATTTGGATACTGTAGTTTGGGTGCGGGCTACCAGGCAGTTTGGGTTGATTTTCTGCTTGTAGAGCATAATGTGTTTCCAGATTTGTCCCTTTCATTCAGGATTCACAAGGAACTTTGACACGGAAGAGRGTCTTGTTTTGGAGCACAGATTTATTCTTCATTTAATTTATTTCTTCCCAAAGAGGGTGATGCAGGTGGCTGTGGATCTGGTGCAGAGTGGCCGCCTGCCCCTCGTGGGGCACGAGGGCCTTCTCCTTTCACGGTAGCTCCCACACGTGTGTCCGGATTCTCCTTTATTTTTTTCCCCTATATTGTTTGGACAGCTTGGCCTTTTGGTCCGTGCACGCAGGACTGTGTCAGAGGATGAAAGGGACTTTCTTTGCAAGCCCCTTCAGCGTTCTTGCTGCGTGATGAGCACGTTGCAAACACAAACACCGCAGGGCTTTCCAAGCCCGGCAAAATCTGTTAAAAGGAGGAGCTTTAATGAGTGCTGCTCCTCCGAGGGCCGTGTTTGCTCTGGTACCTCTCCTGGAACGGGAGAGCTCTGTGAAGACGCGGGAAAGACCGGGCTCCGTTCGGCTCTTCCACGTGCAGAGCTCTGCTCCCTGCTGCGAGAGGAAGGGAGAGGCTCGGAAATGCTGCTCCGCTCTGGAAAGATGCGCTGGAAGGGGCCGGGACACGTGGAGCGGGAAGAGGAGCATCCCTTATCGGCTGCTCCTCTTAGAGCTGGAAACCAAATAGGACCCTGGAGTTTGCCCAGTTCCAGGAGGTGCCTCTGTTTTATGGCATCTAAATACAGAGTCCCTTGTTCCAAGCTTTCTGAAGGGGATGAGCCCGGTTTTCCTTGTGCTCGCAGGAGCGAATCCGCGGCAGACCTGGGAGCGCATCGAGGCTCCCCGGCTGCTCTCGTCACACCGCCTGTTGGGTCGGACTGTAGGGGAGAGGGCAGGAATCTGCATTTCATTCCTGGAGTAGCTCTTGGCTGTGTGTTTTCCCGGCCAGACAAGGGCCTCCTTGTCTTTCCGGGAATAGCTGGCATTTCCCGGCACGGCGCTGCGGCCCTGGGGTGCCCCGGGGCTCGTTCYGGCCTCTCTGCAGGGCTCGTCCTCACCGAGAGCCCAGGCTGGAACGAGAAGACACTTCCAAAGTCAGAATCTTCCACTGTGTCCTGTGATCTTTATAACTTTAGATGCATTACGCTGCCAGCTGGTGATTAATATTGAATCTGAACAATATTTTGTATTTGTGGCAGGGCAAATGCCAAAGAAAGTTTCTGATTAATAGTCTCCGATTAGCCTGTTCTGTCAAATTGACTAATGTGGTGCAGTGGTGAGGCCTGGCTGATCGCATCGGAAGCATCTCCTGAAGATGCTCATTACGGGAGATTCCCACATAATGTTGGACAGGCCATAAAGCGAATTGGGCTTGTCAGTCTYTTATCATGACAGTTATTTAAAAATTAATGCGTGGCTTTCGAAACGCCAAGGCCTCCTTCTCCGTGCGTTTGCTGACAACGCCGCCGTAACGGTAGGTAAATGTGCAGGGTGGGCTCGGCAAAGGCAGCCCCGGCRAGGGCGGCTCCGCAGCCCCGCTTAATATAAGGAACAGGCTAATGCCCGGGAATCAAACACAGCCTGCAAGGCACTCATCCGTAGGGGAGCCCTGTCACGCCGCTGTGGTCGAAGGTCGTTTCGAGGCATTATCTAAAACGACAATGTGAAATGGAAGGAAGCGTGCGAGGAGCGGGGAAGGCAGGGCCCCAACTTTGGAGCCCACGTGGTGGCGTTTGCTCCGAGCCTGCGGAGCGCAACGASGGGGAGCAGGGCAAGGGGAGGCTGGGGACAGCGCGGGAGCCGGCCCCGTCCCGTGCGCTCTGCGCGGCTGCGCGGGGCTCCGCTCACCCACTGCCTGCGCTCGGCTCCCCTAAGGGACAGAAATCCCTAAAAAGCAGTGGATTCTTCGACTGTGGTGGTCCGTGAAGCAATTTGATGCAGTTTATTAATAATCTGGTAATGGGGGCAGAGCCCTGAGCCGTTTGGGAAGGGGTGGGTCCCATTTCTTGGATACGTGGTTYGTTTTGGCCAGCAGAGCTGCGGGATCTGTGTTTATCTGTGTATCTGTACACTCACGTAGGTGTCCCCCCAATGTCACAGGATCCGTTTCACGTTATTTATTGAGTTTGGAACAGCTCTGAGCCTGAACTGTGAGGATTTCGTAGGCTGCGGGTTTGGGCATCTCTGCGCGCGGGCAGCGCCGAGCGGGTCYGGAGCAGCCGCTTCCGAGCGAGGGTCCGGGGAAGGGGAGGGATCCCCCCCGCTGCCCCCTTCCCAACTCCTCCTGCAGCGTCCGGAACGAAGCCCTCGAAAACGGGATGTTACCGGCAAATTAAACATTTGCCGTCTTGTGAAAAGGCCTTTAATTAGGAGAGGGCTATGCTGGTGTGTGGAAAGCAGGAGTAATTGACAGCGGATGGGCAGGCGAGGGAAGCAGGAAAAGAGAGCGGCTAGAGTCTTGGATGTTTTAATAAATGATGTATCTGATGAGTATTTGATGTAGTTGAGAGTGCCAGGATGTCTTGCATTTTCAGAGCCACATCTGAAACTTATTTAGGGCTTTAAAAGAAGAGAGTGTTTTTGAGATAAGGAGTTTATTAGTTATTTCTACTAACTCCTGTCCAAAATGCAGTGGTAAAATGCTCTTGATAAAACACAGACCTGTGGAGCTCTGTGGAAATGCCACGACCCTGGCCTGGGCTGTGCGTTGGAATGGCGTTTTGGAGCTGGGAATCCCCCGCATCCTTTCGGAAGGTGTTGAAATTCCGGCCTGCATCGGATGTCCGTGACGTCCCATGGGCGGCTTCGCGCCCCGAGGGCCGCCGTCCTCGCGGGAGCCCCGGGATTCCTGCATCACGGCGGGGAATAAGAAAGATGTTATTGGTAATGCTCATCTGTTTCTCTATTCCTGTATTTTTGGTGTGGATAAGAGTGTGCTGGTGAACCCACACACTGTTTCCATGTTCCTGTGTGATCCGTCTGGGAGCTGCTTGCGGCAAAGCCGTTCCTCACGGTGCTTACTGCTCCTCTCTGTGCTTTCTTGCAGTGGGAACTCCGTACTATATGTCCCCAGAAAGAATACACGAAAACGGCTATAACTTTAAGTCCGATATCTGGTCTCTGGGCTGTTTATTGTACGAGGTAAGGACCTTCCAGCTTTCTTTCCCCCAACACGGCTTTTCCCAGCAGGGTTAYGAGCGGGGCACTGGTCCTGAGCACCTGACATGCTCTAAGGTTTAGCTAGGGGAAAGATATTGTATAGGTGCTAACAGAAATGCCTCGTTAACGGCCCAAGGCAAACTGTGCGCGAGCCGGCGCCCGGCCCCGCTGCTGCTCCCTGCGGGCTGCTCCGCGCGCCCCGCGAGACGGGATCCCAGATTTATGCAGAGAGAAATATTTAGCATTGCGCTAAGATGTGTTTGTGTTGCAGGCAATATGGTCCCCTTATGGCACGGCAGTCTCGGTGCTCCTTACATTTAAGAAGCTGACTTAATTGCACACTAAACATAATTCCGCGATAGGAGTAGTGGTACTGAGTGCTTGGCATGTGAAGCCTTTCCAAGCTCCTTCCTCGTAGCTGAGCCTCACGTCGGTGAGCAGGAGCTGTGGGATCCTGCAGATTGCAGGAAATGCCAAACGGCCCCCGGCCTCGCGTTCCCGGGATAAACAGCTCCTGCATTCCCAAACTTTCCAGAATCTGAACCTGGAAATCAAAATCACCTCTCTTCAAGGGAGTTGCAGTTTATCGGTAGTAATTGCTTGAAATAAAAGCGCTTCTCCTTTTGGCTTAGAAGTAAGGAAGTAATGTTTGTCTGCTTATGAGTCACTTCGGATAATTCTCGTACAGTTTGTGTAGATAAACTGAAGAGAGATTTAATGTACAAATTGCCTTGAGAGACATGTGTGTCCAGTGGCATCCMCTTGCACAACCTTGAGGGCCTTGGGATGTGATGTCGGAGAGCACCACTTAACTTTGACATTGATAATGGCCTAGTGCTTTTTATTCAATCTGATCAATATAGTAGGAACTGTCTTCATCCCTCTCTTCCTCTGTAAAGCTGTCATCAAGATAACTTGGAGGGAATAAAAATAAGTTGTTTATTTCCAGAATATAGCTACAAGCAATGACTTTAGCGGCTCTAGCAAGATGATCAATTTAAACACTAACAGCAATTCCTATGCATTTTTTTTAACCAGTCATAGTGCATGGTGGGCATTTTAAGTGGAGATCTAGCGGTCCCGCTGTAATTGTTATAATCAAAATGTCAGAAGCAAACCCAAATGCAGCATCACAAATTGCTGCTAGAGATAAATTTAGAGTCCCTGCCTCGTGCGGGAGCGGGTACGGCCGCGCTTTCGGTTTTAATTCGCTGTTCTATCAGTTCAGTCTGAAGAAATGGGCTTGTTTCCTTTTCAGTCTCTTCCCTTGGCACGTTGTCGTTAGGAATGTCAGCGGGAGCGGGAGAGCCCCTTGGAGGCGGTGGGCGCCGGGCTGCCGCACGGTGCTGCAGGGGCTGGCCTGGGTCCCTGGCGCGGGCTGCGCATCCCCTGCCTTGCGGCCCGGGTGCAGGGCTCGTTCCGCAGCCGCCTGCAGCTCCCTTTGCACAGCAAGGGTCTGCAGCTCCCGGCGGGAAGCGTTGCACGGGGAGGACTCTGGGATAAGCCAGCCTGGGCCTTTCTGGGATGCGTTTTGGGAACCATGCAGCTCAGTGTATTTCAGGGGAATTCRGGTAATCGGGGCTCGTTATTTAATGTTAGTTTAGGCCACTTGAGCGAGGGCTTCCAGGACAAATGATCTTCCCCAGTGAAGATGCAACTTCCTTCCTGAGACTTAAGTGTAATATAAACACACCTTTTAAAAGAATCTCCGCGTGCCCTGGGAGGAATTTTCCCGCAGCAAAAAGCCCCCGTCTCACTGTCCTCGCCACGCGCGTGGCCCCTTCGCCTCCCAAGTCTGCCCTGCTTTTAGAGATGCCAATAGTGGGTTTCAGCAGAACCTGAGAGGAAGCGGGTGGGCTGGAGAGGAGAAGCGGCAGCCGCCGGCCCTGGTCCCCGCGCGGCAGCCCCGGCCGGGCAGCGGCTTCCTGGGCTGCTCTCCTTGTTGCGCGTTTTTAGGACTGAAGTGATTCATTGGTGTTTAACATTCTTTGTATTTCGACTCGCCAATGTCCAGAAATAGTCAATGTATTTTTTGTTATCACATGCTGTCAAAGACAGAAGAGCTTTTAGCCTTTAAGRACCCATCGTGGTTATGATGGGTTTGCCCTATGGCACAGGTTTCCTATCCCTTAATTCAGGAAAATAGATATTTTTTCTCTGTGTTCTCCCAGAGCTGCTGTCTCTGTGCATTCAGTGTCCCACGTGAAACATTTTGCGCAGAATTAAGCCCGGTGGTGGGAGAGCGCATTTTCCTGGATGCAGATGCAGGGATGAGCAGGAGCGATRCAGTTTGGGCTGGGGGCCGCGGTGGCATCTGTGCAAAGCTGCCATGTGCTCAGYGCAACCTGCCCTTGCAAACGCTCTCGAAGAGCAGCCTGTGCCTTTGCTCGCTGTCCAGGAAGAAAATTTGCTCTTGCAAGTCAGCAGTACTGAGGCCTGTTAAATCCTTTACTTTTCTGAGATATTTTCTCTTTTTCCCTCCAGATGGCAGCTCTTCAGAGTCCTTTCTATGGAGATAAGATGAACCTGTTTTCTCTTTGCCAAAAAATAGAGCAATGTGACTACCCACCTCTTCCAGCCGAACATTATTCGGAAAAGGTAAATGGGGAGCGTTGGTGCGGGGCCTGGCTGCGCGTCCCGTCTCTGCAGAGCCTCCCTTCCCGTTCCCTGCTCCCGGCGCTGCTGCACCGCGGCAGGAGCTGGCTTTGCCCCGAATCCTCCTCTCGGGGGTCACTGCTCAGCCGTGCTGCACTCCAGAACCAGCACAGGGAGGGCAGGGTCCGGACGGCAGAGCCCTGTGCTCGTTAAGAGCCAGCACGTGAACGGATGCGGAGGGTTTGGGGAGGGTCCTGTGGCCAGGTAAGGGCCCCGGCGGCGCCGTCCTTGCCGGGGCCGCAGCCGGGAGCGCGCGGCGCCGCTCCGCTTGCAGCGTGCACCGTCGCGCTTTTAATTACCATTAAAATAATTGGCACCGTGGCTGCTGGGAGGACGTGAGAAGATCAGAGGCTCAAGGCTGTTTCTCCGCAGGCCTCGGGGAGCCGAGCAGCTTTTGGTGTCTGTATAATTAAAAGCTACAATCTTTCATGTGCACAATAAAGAGGGCTGGGAGGTGGGGAGGCTTCAGACCTTCTGCATTTTATTTATTAGAAATAATCAATGACCGCGCTCGGCTCTTCGCAGAGCCCTGCTCGGAAACGCTGCTGCTCTGCACAGCTGTGCTGGGGCAGCGTGGATCTGAGGATCCAGCTTGCCGGGCAGGGTTTTACCTGGGAAACCCGGACCTGGCTGCAGCGCGGGGGAACCGGCGCCGCGCGGGCGCTCTCTCACCGGCCCTTTTGTGTCTTGCAGCTGCGGGAACTGGTCAGCATGTGCATATACCCCGATCCAGATCAAAGGCCTGACATTGGTTACGTGCACCAAATAGCAAAACAAATGCATGTTTGGACCTCCAGCACTTGAAGCATCGGCGAGCGCTCTCGAAAAGCCAGCACAGCTTAGTCTTACTTGAATTTGTGTTTTCTCAGATGAAACCGACTGGTGCCTAGTCACACAAGCGAGAGGGTTGAGCACTCGTAGCGGGATGCTCCATTATTTCTGCAGGTTATTTGACAAGGACTCGTACAAGGTGGTCATGCTTTAAAGTGACGATTCTGTGAGGTATTGCAAGTGATTTTTATTTTTATTTTTTAGCCAATAACATGTTACAGATGTAGATCATTTAAGGGTCCTTTCTTAAAACTGTCGTGTGTAATCTAGGGTAGATTATATTAGCAAGGGCGTCTTGGAGACCCCTTCTATCTTAACTGTAATGTGAAATATTGAAATAATTCCTTCAGTGAAATCACTTTATACTAATGTAAGAATTGCCATAGATTTTTGTGTAATTTGTATAACTGCTACTTTGCCTCTTCTGCAAATGGTTAATAGCAAATTGAATTTTTACTTCATATCATCTTTTAAAGCATCCATGTTTTTATTAATTCCCTCCTCTTCAGATGTAGGRACTGGGAAGGGTGTTGGGGTGAGGGAAATGTATTTGTTTCAAGATTTCTTTTTTTTTTAATTTTCTTTTTAAACTGAAAATTTAGAGTGAGTAATTTGCTGATGCATTTATCTGTTAATTTGGCTACAGCCAATGAGTTAAGTGTATACCTGGAGGGAAAAACAAAGAAATGAGCATTGCTTCTGCAGGTAACTTCTCTTTAAACTTATTTTTCCACTTGGTTTTTTTTTTTTTTTTTTTTAGGCTAAAGTTCTTATTAAAAACAGTGTTACTCGAAGCCAGCTGTATTTTGGGGAAGATACTTTTATCAAATTCAGTGGTACTTTAGGTACTGATAGGTAAAATACAAGCAAAGCAGTGTTTTAAGCTTTCTGAAACATTTTAAGAAGAAATRGGTAAAATGCTTTGTGTATCTAATTCTACGTAAGGATCGGCCCCTATCTATTTAACTGTGAAAGTTAATTTATAGAATGTGAATTTTTATAGCAGAGCAACCTGATTTGAAGGAGTCATCTTCTTTAGCGACATGAAAATTTTCAACCAGCAGCTCCATTCATTGAATCAATGATTTGTTCGTTACTGTTGCTGAAAACGCTCACTGCTTTCGGGACAACGCGTGGATTCACGTTCCAGTGTTTCCGTTCCACGTGCCGGCTGCAGGACCGGCCGCGCTCGGCCTGCACGAGCCTGGCCCACACGGCAGCTTTGTGTGTGACAGCTAAAATGCAGCCTGTGCCTTTCTTTTTTTTTTTTTTTTTTTTCTTTTCTTAAGAAAAACATACAATCCTTAATTTTTTTGAAATAAGGTTAGGGCTAGTGGGTTAAACATATATATGCTTTTAGTGGATTTTTTTTTTAATCTAATTTTCTCTACTTAAAGGAAAACTGCCGTGCCATCTTCAGCTACTTYTAATCAGATTTTGAAATATTTATGTAAGGTAGCAAAGTAAGGCTATTAATTGCTGTGAATGACGTTGGTATCATTAAGGCGAGGTGCCACTGGGCGAGTGTTCCCAGCAGAAAGTTGAGCCGGCCGCGAAATCCCAATGCCAGGAAATTCCCATCGGCGCGAGGGAGCAGGAGAGGCACCAAATTGCTTCCACCATTCCCACGCGCACGTGCTTGATTTATGGTCAGCTTCTGTAGTGGTTCGTGGTGTTAAGACCAAAGGCTGCCGTTCTGACGCCGCGCTTCCCGTAGAGCCCGGGTGGCAGCTCCGCATTCCTCGGGAGGGTTGCGCTGCCTCTCCGCGCGTCACGGACCGACGGCGGGTTCGGCTGTCAGGGAAGCTCAACSGACTTGACTCTCTCAAGAAGTCTGGTCCCTTTCTTGCTACGTGGAATTTATTCGTGCTTATAAGTAAATGTATTTCAAAAGGTAATTTTTTTTTTTTTTGCAATTGTGCCTTTTTAGATAAATAAAACAATGATTTACAAAATAAACACCTTTGTTAAGAAAAACGTATGAGTCTACTATTAAGGAAAAAAATGGTTAGAAATGGTCGCTGCAAAGAGTCTAAATGTAAATGTGGAACTTTCTAACAGCTACTAGGAGATATTAATGCTTCACGGCAAGCTCTGCTCCTAGAAGTGACTGGAGCAACTGCCAGCTACCCCGAGGGAAACCTGTATGTGAAACTGCACCCTGCAGCCCTGTGGCCCAGCTGAAGACATGGAAACTGGTAGCAAACGTGAGGCGAGAAACAAGACGAGCTGTGCCCTGCGCTGCCTTCAGTCAGGTAATTTAGAAATGAAGATGTCAGGTAGTTGAGGGGGGGCTGCATCTRCTCGGTTTCTTGTCACTAGAGAAAACAGGGAAGAATGAATGAGAATGAATGTAAACATTTGACGATTGCGGTGACGTAACTGTTTAGCTCAATAGGAGTGCTCAGGATTTTCATAGCAWGTTTTTTAATATAAATAGGCATATATAAAAAAAAAAAAAGATCTTGCTAAATTAAAAACAGACAGAAACTGGGCTTAAGTAGAAAATCCTTCCCGTTCCTACTTTGTTTTCCCCGGGGCTGAAGCTGAAAAGCAGCCCTGGCAGCTGCCTGGTAGCTCCCAGCTCGGGGTGCAGCCCTGCACAGGCAGGAGGCTGCAACTGAGGCTCCAAGAGCCCAGCTCCCCAAATAGGATGATATGGATCTTTCTTCTAGGGCAGAATAGTTCTGCATAAGCCTCACTTTTCAGCAGACAGAATGGAAAAGAAAAAAAAAAAAAGTAGAATTGTCAGAAACATTCCTTAGGWGACAGGTAAGAATTCTTTATTTTTCTCAGTTGCTTATTTTTCTTCATRGAGGAAGGCTTCTAAAACTGAAGTGTAACTAACACTGGGCTCAGCAGCACCAGCACTGCCCAGGGGAGTTCAGGAAGTGTCCATAGTTTGTACAGTTTCATCCACCACCTCMATCTCCAGGAGTGCTACGTGCTCAGTGAGAATGGCAGTAGTTCCTTTTTCACACTTGTATCTACCCAACCTGTTAGAGAAAAAAGTGGAAGTTAATGGGGAAGGTGAACCAGGAAACTCAAGCTTTAAAATTCAGGATGTAAGTATTTTCTCTGGTGTGGGGGTTTATTACATGAAGTTTATCACAGAAACCCAAAGCTAACATTTAAGCCAAGATGTCCACAGTCCAGCCCTGCTTCTGCARTCTTGCTCAGCTGCCTGTAAAAAGGAGCTTTTCTCCTGGCCCCGTTTACCCCGTGAAGTGCAAGTCTCCTCTGAGCTGTATCATGGATGTTCTCCCTGTCTGACCGCCCACGAGGGCTCTGCTCACAGCTCTGCTCATGCGGTTGCAGGTACCAAGTGCAGAGGAGCTGTAACTGGAGCAGGGCTGTTCCTCGTGCCTTTGGCAATAGTGTCTGTCTTAAAAAAGAAGGGAAGGAAAAAGTGATTTCTTTCAACTCTACTATTTTGGCAGCAGACTGAAAAGTTGCACAACTTGTTACACTTAACATAAAAGTACATATTGCAAAACCCTGTAACTGCCTCGGGGGCTGTGAATCACTGATTAGGCAACGCAGCTCACCGAACAACATGTCTGAGTGTCAGAAGGAAAATGTGTCAGCTCCTCTAACCCTAAAATGTTGCTCACTTCAGAATTTCATCATCTCTGCATCCTGAATATTCTCAGTATTAAAAAGATCATATTACACTTAAATGTAACCTTCCTCCCAATACATTTTGTAGTTGAATATTTCTGAACTAAATTCAGGAGATTCAAAATGACTGTTTTTAGGGGTACCATAATACCACCTTTGTGAAGGATTTCCACGTGTTACAAAATGCTGAAGTTTAACATGTTCTGCAGCCCTTCCCTGTGCTTTGAGGAACTGAACACTGAGAACCATAAAATGGAGGAGACTGCACAGAAATCTCCTCCTGAGGGGGCCTGCCAAAGGAAAGGGCTGGAAAAGGCAGCACAAGAAAGAGCAGGACAGGGCTGCCCCCCCGGAACAGCATGAGTGCCCACAACCTGCAAAGGGTTTGGATCACTTATACGCAAAGTGGGAATCAACTTTAATCTGACTAAAGATCTTGCTACTGCCAAAATTAGCTATTAACTTTTCAGAAAGTTACAGCAAACAGCTGCAGGTTTTGTATGAGAAAACAGTGATGATCCAAAAAAAGTCTATGGTTCTTAGCAGTCTTCAAAGGGGAGGGTTTATTTTCCAACCACTGGCTAGAAAAGCCTTCCAGAAGGGGAGTGAAACACAGCAGCAGAGCTATGGGCTGCAGGCCTGGGCTTTGCTGCTGTTTTTGTCCCCGCAGCGAGCTCTTACCTCATGGCTAATGACAGGCTGTGCTGCCAGCTCTCCCTTCTCCACGCTGCCRGGCTAAATTTAGGCAGCGCTGCAAAGGGTACCAGGCTTTGGCACCAGGCACAACTTTGAGCAAAAGAGCAGCCGAACAGGACTGCGCTGCTGCCCAGCAGCTAAAGGAGAAACGTGTTGCTCAGCCACCAGGGAGGAACTTCATCAGGCTCAAACAGCCCGGTGCTCCAAGCCCTCTCCCTGGTCGGTGCAGGTAAGTGATTTATTTCCTTCCAGTGTTTGTAAATTCCACTAAAAACTTCAATATTTGACTGCAAGCCATTAGTTAAAAGCTAATATATTAAGCACAGATCTCAAGACAATCCTCTAATAGCTATCAACTACATAAAGCAGGTTAGATAATGTCTGACARCTTTTAAAAATAGATTTAAGAAATAAACTGAAAATTCATTGTATCGCGGAAGACAGGAAATAGTTAGCAAAAGCACATTAGATAATGCACAGCTTCAGAAATACCGACCTTTCCCCTTTTTTGTTGGCCACATCATATGGACGGAGGAAATCCAACTTGTTCTTGCTTATAACACAGAGATCTATGTTGCTGCCAGAGCCCAGATCATTGTATATGCCAGCTGCAATGGCATTCCTCACAAGCTGTTTGGCTTCCTCTTCCTGGAAAAGTCAAAAAAGCTGTCAGTGCACAAGTGTTGGCATTTTGCAGCAATGTTTGTCCATGTGACAGTGGAAGCTGTGAGCTCTCAAATGCTAAATGAGATATCAGCGCCTTTTTTATCCGCGCCGCCCCGCGGAGCGCGGTCGTCGGCGCCCGGGGCAGGGACGGTGTCTGAAGGGCAGGTCGTTGAAGCCGTGTGTGCCCCGCTGCAGCCCGGAGCCCTGCTACATTGCCAAGGAACTGAATTAAGACCTTTGTTTTAATCAATGCTGGGAAAAAGGAAGCAGCTCCCTGATGCTACCTGCCAGGCTCTCGTGCACGTGCGCAATGCGAGGTCCCTGCAGTGCCCTCTCTAACAGCTGTATCCAAATTAAACATCCGCACTGGATGCACAGTAGCTTCATTACAGGCCGTCCCTAGGTAGTGCCTATTTGATCAGCCTCCGCAGGCCTCGGGCATGACGGGAGAGACAGCGGCCCTCGAGAGGTGCCGTGCTGCCCTCCCCGGGCACCCACGGGTGTGACGAGCACGGGGACCGGGCAATGAACCAGGCGCC